TTAAACCAATAAGTATACACAATTATTATTTGTCAAAAAATGAAAATTTAACAATGAAAAATTCCTTAAAATTTACAAGCCAACTCCTTAAAATTTACAAATCAACTCTGAAGGCATTCCATTTGCCAAGCTGATATACAGAAGCACTCAGCATGCACTTGGTACTGTCACAACCAGTGATAAGAGATCTGCACATAAGTGTAAGGTAAGTGTGTCTGGATTCATGTGTGTGTCATACATGTGTAGACATTATTTTTATTTTACCATTAAGGAAAACGGGGATTTTGAAGTTTTACAGTGCTCCACAATTACATATCAAAGCTGAAGAACAGTCATGGTTTAAATTCAGGTTGCATCTAATCTTCAGGTTGTGCTTTTTTAGCTACAGCACTATCAGAATGTACTGATGTTCTAAAATGATAAAGATAAACGTATTGGGAAAGCATTAAAACTCGGAACTTTCAAATATGCTTTTGATTCTTCTGTAGCTCAAATTGAGCTCATTTTACTTTGCTTTTTTCTTAAATTTATCTCCAATGATAAACTAACAAAATGAAGTCACTACCTAATAAGTCAGGCTACCTTTATTTTATCAAAATGCTACTTCCTAAGAAATATGCAACTTCCTACTGATAGAACTTTTGACATTTGTACCCAAATTTCCCTGAAATCATGTTTTATTTGTGTGTGTGTGTGTGTGTGTGTGTGTGTGTGTGTCTATATGTACACGTTGCAACATTGCATCTATAGAAGTAACCATGGAGCCCAGAAGAGGATGGAAGATCCCTTATACCTGGAGTTACAGGAGGTGGTGAGCTGTCCAAAGTACTGAAAAATGGGTCCGCTGAAGACCCACAAGTGCTCACCTCAGTTTTTAAGAAAAGTTTTCAGGGGCTGGAGAGACGGCTCAGTGGTTAAGAGTACTGGCTGCTCTGGCAGAGGACCTGGTTTCTGTTCCTAGTGTCTATATGGTAACTAACAACTTTCTGTAACTAGATCCAGGGGATCTAACAACCTGTCCTGGCCTTCACAGGCATTCCATCATATAGGTGCATTTATATACGTGCTGGCACATGCACACAAAATTATAACAAATAAATCAAATAAGAAAAGTTTTCAGAACATCTATTTTTGTGCTTCATAAATTATAGCAAGTATGGATGCTCAATGCTTTTGTATGGATTTGTTTTCACTAAACATATATGTCGAATATAGAAACTTACTTTGCTCCTTAAAAACAGGCAACGATATTGAGAGTGGGCTTGGAATCAGAAATTCAGCCATAGGTCAGGCATCAGTTAGGTCTGAGAAGGGTTCCTCTTTTTGTTGAAGATGATCAGTGGTTCTAAGGTTCCAAGTCCAGAAGAAAGGTCCTTGGAAGAGTTACTTAGCTCCTCCTCCACCATGAGATAAATGGAAGAAGTTCACCTCTTGCACATAATTCACAGAATAAAGTGAATAAATATTCAGTAGCCATTACTTTGAAAGTTAAGCAAATGTCTAAGATATTATCATTTTTAAAGTTGCAGGCTTGTAGGAAATCCTCACTACTCACAGGAATAGAGGGTGGTGAAGAGACTAGGATTGAAGCCTGTTCCTGAAATCAGAATTCACGTAGAGTCATGTTGAGTTTCATGAGTTACAGTGCAGGAGCCAGGAGAATGTTATGAAGAAATGGGGCCCTCAGGGGATGCTGTCCCATAAGATCACCCATAGCTCCTCTTCTTCTTTTCCATCTTTATGACAATTATTTAAATTATCATAACTTATATCGTCAGTTTCTTTGTAGTCAGCTTTTTCTCCCGTGTTGTCAACTGGCAACTAGTAAAAAATTTTCCACATCATTTGCCTTTGCACAAATGTCTTTCACTAAAATCCTAGGACATGCGATTTTGGCTTATGTTATTTTTCCTTAGCATAAATTAGCTAGGTCCACACATTCTGTTCTGAGTATTTCACAGAAACTTTCATTTATTGTGGACTTATATTCTTCAATATCAGCTCTACTTATATTTTACCCATTTTTTTGGATCAGGGTCATGTTTCCTGATTCCAGTGTTTAGTGGTTGTAAATTACTAAAGTCAAATTATTCGCTAACATTTTTGTGTAAACAAAGTTTTAATTTCATTTGGTTAAATACCTAGGAATTTTATTCTTTGATCATATGGAAAATATGCTTAATTGAACAGAAGCTCCCAAGTTGTTTATGGAAATTACTCTATCATTTTTTTGTTCCCGCCAAGTGAATTAAATTTCTTTAGATAAGAAAGAAGGAAGAAAAGAGATGGATGAAGTTGAGAGGAGATCATCTATGTTAGGGGTATGGCAGGAGTTGGAGGAGGGAAATGGGAAGGGTGGATATGATTATGTTTCATAGTACACATGTATGAAATTCTCAAGAATTAAGAAAAATTATAATTAAAAATAAATATCTTTATGGGTTACACTGAAATGACTCAGAACATTTATACATTGTATAGTTATAAGCTCAAATACTTAAATTAGTTACAATTGGACACATTTATCACCTTTTTGAAATGAAAATGCCCTGAATATTATTACCTACTAATCTAAATTATATAATGTAATAGTAAAACTATCATCTTTTGTATAATATATTTTTCCTGTTTTACAAACTATACCAATAATTTTTTCACAAAATCTTAAAAAAAACCTAAACACAACCATAAAGTAATACCACATTTAAAACCTGGAATTTCTTTTTTAACTAAAAAAAAATTGTCCAGTTCTTTCACCTACAGTGTACTATGAACCCTTAAGACCAGTTGATGTATCACACCTTTTACATTCCAGGCATGCAGATTTGTTACATCTAGAGGCCCTGTCTGACATCAGCTAACATAATCAAATTGTACTTCAAAGGAAAAGCATAATAATATGATCTCATCCTTATTAGATTGTCAAGAATATAACTAGACCACCACATACAATCCAGAGGAAGAAATTTTTGTAAATACCCGGTATTCCATAAGGTTTAGTCTAATATTGTGTTTTTATAAACTGTGGTGTGACATGAATAGAATAGGTCACAAAAAGAGTGGTGTTCAAACCTCCTGTCTGCTTGTCTACCTATGCCTGTCTC